CACACACACACACACACACACACACACACACACTCATCTGATGTATGTATGCATATTATACTCAACTAAAACAGATAAGATGTGTAAAAGCTGCAGAAGTTAGCATGTGTGTGTCACTTGCAAGGTCACACCCCCCAAACGTGTCCTCTGCACCGAGCACCCGTTCAGCCAGCGTGTTAGTGACCTCAGTGGTTTCACATTATTGTGGTTTTACGTGACAAATGAGAACGGCAGAGGAAGCTCATGGTGTTCTCGGAGATGGAAGAATTAAAAATACACATATGTACACACTCTGCAGTGCAGCAAAAGGTGTCAAGGGGCCCTGTGTTTGTTATTTTCACCTTCCCCTATTCCCAATTTGCAAAATCTGCAAGGCACGAGCAAACACTCACACGTAGACAGCTGGCTCGCTGTTATTTTATATGATCGCACTTTTTGATGTGTGTCAAATTCAAATCATCCAAGGCTGAAAACAGGCAACAGCTTTTCATCGCCGCTCAGTCTGCGATCTTTGCTGGCAACTTTTAATCCTAATATTGGTTACTAATGCACTGTTACTGCCACTTTTTCTATATTTATGATATGAGGCGTCATGCAGTGTAGGTGAACAGCACACAACCATGATTCAACATAAATATATTCTTCAAAAAACCCTGATTCTGTCTCGTTTTGTCAGGTGGCAAATCACCGCACCTCAAGCATGTCCAGCCTCAACTCCCAGGAATCCTCCAATGACATCTGCAAGCTGACAGACAAGCAGCAGGCCGAGTATAGTGATGCCTACAGGGAGTACATCGCTCAGATGGCCCAGCTGGAGATGTCCGGCAGTGGAGGAGAGCGGCCGGTGCAGCCCCACCCCGGCCAGTTCCTGCAGGCTGCCAGCTCAGAGGACAGAGGGGTGGGTGGACAGTCACAAGTACACTGTGGAGTTTTTGTCAATGCATCACTGGCGACATGAATACTTTAGTCAAATCAGAGCAGAAGCTCCCCACTGTCAGGAAAATAACTTGTGGTAACCATTGTCATTAATCTGTGTCGACGTATTCCTGAGGTCAGCCTGAATGCTATGTTGTTCTTAAACTTGGGCTTTTACATTTTTTTGTATCTCTGGCCTGTGCAGTAGTAAAAGTTTTATTCTGGGCCAGAAAAGGGGGAAATCACTGCTTCTTGTGTTTCTTAATTATTGGCTTAAACTCCTTGTTTGTCTTGGCACATAAAAACAGACAGGAATCCCCTCTGCTGAGGCCTCTCTGCCAATCGCTCAGGATATTGTATATTTTCATGTTATTCTCATTGAAATTCTCTTCCCATTCGTCAGGCTAAGGAAGGAGCTGACCAAGACAGCCGCAAGTCCCTGAGCAAGAGAGGCTCCAAGACCAGTGATGCCACAGACTTTGCCTCAGGGGGCGATGCCCAGCCCCTGGACCCCATCAGTGAAGAGGATGAGAAGCTGGACCACAGCTCATCCTCCAGGACCCCGGGCCCCAAGAAGAAGGCAGCTGGGTCGTACTACCAGAAGCTGCCCAATGATGACGACTCTGGCCCTGACGACACCACACCTCTCCTCCACAAAGAGGACCTTACATCCTACAGAGGCTCCCAGCCCGCTGGGCCGCTGACCAAGCCCGGCTTCCTTAACGAAATTCTCCTGGATAAGAAGGACTCGTCTGACTCGGGGATGCGCTCCAGCGACAGCTCCTCGGACCACTCCTCGGAGGAGACTCAAGGAGACGCTGACACTGAGGGAGATCCTCTGAACCCTGGGATGCTTGAGCTGGAGGGGTTGGTGAAGAAGAGAGGCCTCCTCCCCAGCAGCCTGAGCGGCCTGCAGGACGCCACGGTGGCGCGCATGTCCATCTGCTCCGAGGCTCCGTCCGAGGCCAGCCTGATGGCCAGCAGCCCCGACGAAGGATGGCCGTCCGGCGGCATCTCTAACCTCAACCGCACGGCCAGCAACAGCACGCTTAACAACAACACAAGCAGTCCAACTGACACCAACACAAACACCAACAACAGCCGTCAGCAGCAGGCCAACCTCGCAGGCACACAGTCCACCACCAACTCCTCCTCGGGCATCGCCATCTCGCCAGCCGTCATCATCATCCCCGGCAGCGGCGGCGGCAGCGGCGGTGACACCGCAAACACCACGGCTGCCACCATCCACAACCAGAACCTGCGCACCGTCAGCCTTGGAGACGAGAGGGAGAGCGTCCTCTGAGCAGGAGCCATATGTGTTGGTTATTCTGATGAGTGGCGTGTAGGCTGCTCTTCTTGATGTTGGTGGTTGAGTTAAACTCTGTTGATGTTGTGACGTGTTTCAAAGAATAAGAGTAGAGTAGTGTTTCAATGTTTGGAGGAAAGTGTAGGAAACAGGCTGTGAGTAGTACTAGGATACATCTGTAGTTACATTAGTATTTAATTACACCAGGAAATGCTTTGGTCAGGTCAAATCTGGGATGCTTTAACTTCCCTTGTGTTACGACGCGTGTGTCTCTCCTGTGTTTGGATAGCGATTGTGTGATTTCGCTCACGTGGACGTGCTGCTGTCGTGTGGAAATGTTGTGTCGCATGATGACATGTTACTTGTTGTGGACAAATTGTTGCAGGTGCTGTTTCAGGAAACGAGTAATAATATATGAAATAGAATTTAAATAGATGGCGTAGACAGTGGTAAGTTGTTGTTGGTATTGTTGTGGTAGAAGAAGTGCATGCACTGGACTCCAGAGCGGTATCGGTCTTTTCCAAAATTCCTTGTGAAACTGTTTAGTGAATCAATAAACTTGTGGACTCGGTGGACTCGGTGTCATGTTTCTCTTTTTTTTTTCGCTGCTTCTCACAGGAAAACCAGCTGTGATCGGTGGAGTCATGTAGACTGAGATTTAGCTGCTAAGTAAATTCATCTAAAAGTCTTATTTTTAACCATTGAATGTTTTTAATGCAGTTTGACAGAAGACAGTTGCAGGCTGAGATGAGGGTTGTCACTGGAGGGTTTCATGTGTGCCGATAGATGGCGCACTTTCCATAGGAACGTGTTTCAGGCTGGTGGTGTGGTCTGTCTGTCAGACAAGTGGGAAACAACTTGAGCTCAGTGACCCTCAAAGTTTGACCTGCTGGGGCCTTTAAGCATTTTTTTAATTCCCTTTAGTTATTTTACATTTCACTGTAAATTACTAAATGTATAATTCATTCATCAACACATTCTTTTTTCTTTCCACAGCCTTAAAGAGAGTTTACACACTTGATCCAAACAGATCCCATGAAGTGGTACTCGGGGTGAAATCATCATTACCTGTGGGTGTGCCGCCTGGTGGGTGGGTTTGTGGTGTTAATGTGAAGGCGATGATTGACAGGTGACTGTATCACCCAGCAGCCCCTTGTACTTTCTTACGACTGATGCCACTTGTACAGTGTTCAAGTCCTCAGATTTCCTTCACTGTTCAATAGTTCTCACTACTTCATCTTGTGTGAGTTGTAGAATCAGTGTCATTTATTCTATCAAACGACAGAAGAACCCATTTTTAAAGCCCTTACACCAAACTCCAGTTATAAAAGGGGGAATTAAAAGCCATAGCTGCCCAGAATAACACTTTTGGGAGCAGCAACGCATCAGCGGCCCACTTTCACCTCAAGTTAAATTTCCATAATTGTTCCCTCTTCTTTTAAACACTGCCTACAGCCCCATAGCATTAATGGTTCAAGCTGTCACGCTCAAACCATTTAATCCTATTTACTTTACATAGCATGTGAGGAAGTAAAAGTGCAGCCAGTGTGCCCCAAATAAGCTTCGACGCAACTGTGCGCCTCGCAGGTCGTGTTTGCCCTCAGGAGGGAGAGTTTCCAGCCATTATAGGTCACACAGTGCAGGTCTGATAAGGACGCTTTGTTGTGCATCTCGTCTCTGGAGTGCGTCACATGTTCTCTGTACATAAAGCAGCACTCGTGTCCATACAGCTGTGGGGGAATGTCAGCTGGACGCACAGCTGGGAGACTGATTTTTACGCACTGGTTCCATGACACCAATTGATCCACTCCTTCAAATAAAACCAATCCAAATCGTTGTCTTTTTCGATTTATTTTTGTATAAAAAAAAGGTACAATTTACATTACTTTTATAAAAAGTCTCAGCATAATTAAGTACAACATTACACTTTTGCAGAAGTGTCAAATTTCTGCAACTATACAAGATAAACTCCCGATGAGAGTTGACAAAGGTTTCATTCTTTTCGTTTTTACTTTTTTTCTTTTCTTTTTAAACAACGTCCAGTCCTTCATGTGCCAACAAATCTGACAAGACAAGACTAAACTTTTTACAGTAACTAACCCAAGTTTTTTTTTTTTTTTTTTTTTTCTTTTCACGTTCCCAACTCCGCAAAAAAAGCGAAGACTTCAACAAGGAGAAGGGGGGGACAAGGGGTGAAGAGGAGAAGGGAGAGGGGTGAGGAGAGGGGAAATAATCCTTGTGACAATAATCTCGTTTTTCCTCCCATTTACGGGAATATAACGCGCCTTCCATTTTCAGAAAGGACCCACAAATAATAATAAAAATAAAGAAAAATCTTAAGTTAAATAACAATGAAAGTGTCCAAATAAAACAGAAAAACACATCACATAAGATTGTCCCATTATAAGCAACAAAAAAAGTCTCTGGATTTCAGCGTCAGAAGAGAGAGAGAAAAAATAACATGAGTCCAGGCCTGGAGGAGGACAGAGGTTGTTGGAGAGTTGGGGGAGGAATGGGGGAGAAAGTCCTGCTCCCCAGGTCCTGCGCGCGTGCGTGTGAGTGTGTATGAGAGAGAAAGAGAGTGTGTGTGTGTGTGT